TTCTATCCTGTACCTGACAAAGAGCCGGCTTCTCAGAGGCAGCCTGGCCCAGGGATGCTGCCATTCGAGGCGGCCACCTTTGAGGGCTGAGCAGCTCTGCGCTTGGTGGTGTTCATTTGATCTCATCCACACGTTTGTTCCAGGAGATCTAAAATTCTCAACCTCCAAACAACGCATTTTTACACAAGGTTTGCAATCATGTTCCATATCCGGTGACACAAAGTGGCTGCCCCAGACCTATGGAGCCAACATTTCAGCTCCGGGGGATCCTGCAGGAGAGACAAGAAGTAGCCCAGCAGGTCTCCAAGACTACCATGTCTTTCTCCTCCAGTGGCTGGTGGCTTTGAACCACTGACCTTCTAAGTTAGCAGATGAACACTTTAATTACTTTGCCATCAGGACTCCTTACGAACTAATAATAGTCCCAAAATGACCAAATCTAAAAGTGAAGTCTCTTCACGCTCCAGGGCTTCACACAGCCAACTGGTCTACCCTGTGTAACCCACTCCAGAAGGTGGGTGCCCCACGGGAACAACCCTTTCATGTTCAAAGAAGATTTTAACAGCCAAGTAATTAAACAGCTGAGAATAAGGGCTTATCATTCAAAGGCGGACAAATCTGAGCTTGTGACACGAGAAGGACCGCTCGAATATTTTACAATTCCTTTTTTATACATAATGTATGATCCTTCTGCTCAACTTTCCTCTATGGTCCACGTCCGCGAAGTAATTTACATTAATAAATAATTTACTGCCATAACTCCTAAAGTAATTACGGGTTCCAATCCAGGTTTTTTTAGCATATGAATTGTTTTGTTCTCTGTCCATTGACTTGTCTTTACAAGACTTCTGCGCGTAGCCTTTTGGAATAATTGGTACCGCAGACGCTCTCTCACACGTGATTTGATTTCCAGGTCTTCTCCTTGCCTGAGCAGTGAGCAAAATGGAAATGTGAGTGCACATTGTCCTCCCCTCACAGAGCCATTTAATGACTGCAATTAGCCCAAGGGAGGGAGTGAAGCCTGCCCCTACCCCACCTGCCTTGCTTCACCAAGAGAGATTAAACTAGGGTGCACATCACCCCAGGTCAGCTGCAGCAGCAGCCCCAGCCCCCGGCAAATGTGGGGACCCCTGGGAGTTGTAGGGTGTCCACTATTCCCCCACTCACATCCAAGAGAAACCGAACACCAGGACCGGAGCCAGCTCCCTGGCCTGGCAGCTGATCTCGGGGCAGCCATGCCCAAGCAGCTGGCACCTGCTGAGAGCTGTGTCTTGGGCTGGGCACACGGTGACCGGTCAGTCTCCAGTGGCTGCTGCCCAGTGAGGCAGTTTACAGAGGATGTCCCAGCCCATGAGCAGAAGAAGAGCCAGGGCCAGACCAGACCAAGAAGAGGCTGTTTCCTGCGGTCACTGCTGGAGGGGGCACTGGCCCAGGCAGTTAGTCCTCTAACGAGGGGTACTGTTCTCAGGCAGGGCTGACACCCCGGTGAAGAGCATCTTAGTGAGGGCCCTGTTACAAGGCAGGGTGCCCCCAGGAGAAGCCCACTGGTACATGTGGCTGTGGAGTCCCAGCCCTGGGCAGCATGGGCATCTCTTTGAAGCCCTTATTCCTGAGCAGGGTAGGTGCCCAGTGAGGACTCCACCCAGGCATGGAGGGTGCCCAGGTAGGGACCCAATCCTGGCAGGGTGGGCATCCTGGTGTGGTCCAGCCCCAAGCAGACAGGCTGGCGGCCGTTCAGCACTCTCTGCCTGCCTCTCCTATATACAGCTTTGTAAATGAGCAAACACACTTTTCTGTACCAAGCTCCCAAACAGGATGGGCAGCACGGTGGGAGGACCTGAGAGCCAGCTCTTCCTCAGAGCTCCGAGTCCTTCGGGAAGGCCCCTCGCTGAGCGCCCACGACTACAGCGGCCGGGCTTCCCTCCGCACCGGGCAGGTCCGGCAGCAGCGAGCAGGCTCCTTCCTCTCTCACCACCTGCGCTTTCTGAGGGACAGTTTTGGAAATGGCTTCCAGTGAAGCCTTTGCGTGGAGCTAAGGAGCAGAGCCATGCAGATCGCAGGGCCAAGCGGCCCCCTGTTCTCACCGGCAAATTCCACTGACTTGGCCAGCACACTCATCCGCCTTCAGAGGTAAGGCGGCACCTTGGTGGAGCACCCCCTCCCCGGCCCTGGGGAGGCCCGAAGCCTTCAAGATAAGCACCAGGAGGCCAAGGAGGTCCTGTCATCTCCACAGAGGAGCAGAAACACGGAGATGAACTCTCACTGCCAGGGCGGAACTCCAAGTTCATGGCACAGAGTGGGGCCCCAAAGCCATGGTTCAGGGTTAAGTGGTCCAGGAGATAAGCAGAACCCTGGCAGGAGGATGAGGCTGGCGGGAGGCCTGGGGTGGGAGGACTGAGTGGGATGCACACGGCCTGGGTGCACAACCCTGTCCATCCCCACTAAGTGGGTGCTGCATCTGCAGAAGGAAACTGAAGGTCCGCAAGGTGGCACGATTTGCCCCAGGACCCCTGGTGTGGACACAGGTGGGTCCTTGCCTTAATGCAGGGGACGTAGGCCCCGCACTGGGCAGGCACATACTTGCTCTCTGTGCCAGCATGGCATTGACTGATCCCCAGGAGATGCTCGGTGAATAATTACCACCACATATCAGCCTTTATCAGCTGAGGAGGTTAACAGAAGGCAAGAGCAGTAGCTGAGGACAAGGGGGAACTCACAGACCCCACCACACGGGAGCCAGCTCTTCCCACCTCCCTTCCCATTGCCCTCTGAGAAGAGGAAGGCAGGCCCCGAGGAGGGAAATGCACATGGTCAAGGCCTTGAGGGCTGGAATGGATCATGCAGGCTGAGCTTGGAGCAGTGCTCAGTGCTCCCTTCCTGGGAGCCCAGGGACAGAGTGGGCCCTCCCGGGAGCCCAGCAAGAGTAGGGCCTCCTGGAAGCTCAGGTCAGCACGGACAGGCCCTTATGCAGACCCAGAACAGAAGCCCATCCTCCTAAAAGCTCAGGGCCAGAGTGGGGCCTCCTGGGAGCTCAGGGCAGGAGTGGACCGTCCTGAGAGTTCAGGCTGGAGTGCGGCCTCCTGGGGTAGGCGCAGCCCCACAGACAGCACGTGCTCTCACTCACAGGACAAGTATGAGGGGAGTAGCTCCCTGTGTGCTGCTGCTCACTCTTCCCAAGGGGCCTCTGATGTTCCTCCTCAGGGCTGACGGTCACCTGCAACACTGTCCCTAAGGACACTTCTGTGGCCCCTTGTCTGGATGTCAAAGGGTCTGGCCTAGGTTTCATCTGCACTGTAAGCTGTGCGTGTGGCCTCTGGAGCCCATGTTGAGCAACCTTACCTGGAAGGTGAGTCAGCAAGTTTCCAGAGGCTACACTCCATCCTCCCAGATGAGAGGCCCAAGGCTTCTCTGCAGATGAGGGTGCATCTGCCTCTCCGAGCGACTCCATCGCTCCCAACACTGTCTACCGCAAACCTACAGGAGCCCCACCTGATGTATCCAGGGCAGAGCCAAGGAAGCCTGCCCACCCACAATAAACACCAGACACCTTCCCCGCCCAGGGCAGCGCTGGGCCTCAGGCTGGGGCATGCGGGCGTGCGGGGCCCTGCTTCCTGAGCACAACAGCAGCAGAAGCCTCAACTCCCGAAGAGCTCAGGAAGCAGCAGGTGATGGGACAGGGTCAGGGCACCGCGGAGGGTTTGCTGTGTTAACGCTAAAGAGGTGAGGTTCCCCCAAGACCACAGCAACCCTGGGAAAGAGCCATCTACCTTCTCCCCACCCCCAGGCCCACTCTGACCTTCCCAGGCATCGGGTTCCCCAAGTGAACAGACAGCAGTCCCCACTGAGCACCCCTGGGGAAGTCCACAGGACGGGACACATGAGGAACTCACCCAAAGTGCGGCTGGACACTCAATGTGGTGACCAGCACCCCCTCAGTCACTATCCCTCCAGCCAGGGCCCTGAGCCTGAGGAGAGACCCCAAGACTGCCAGAAGGCAGGGGCTGGGAAAGAGGAAAGACGGTCTTCTGAGGGTCTCAGCAGGAAAACCAAATGTAGAAAACCCACCACCCGACTGACTTCTGATCTGACGGAGATATTACAGAAACCCCTCTAGCCAGGTGTCCCCCAAGGGAGACGGCCAGTCAGGGGGTCCTGCGTGACCTCACAGAGGAATGGCACGAGGAATAGTGACCATCATGCAAACTATGGGGCAACCAATATGGCAATCGGTGTTCTTCCTTTAGAAGGACAGCAATTCACAGCGGTTTGAAAACAGATGACCAAGAAAGCATGGTGACAACATGACAGAGGCTTCCAGAGGCCCCGCCCCCCCGCCAGCATCCCCCCAAGCCATCCTCAAGCACAGCCCTGAAGCAGATGAGCCGTACACACCTAGGTCACCGCTGATATGACAGCACATCGCAGGGCCCCTCTAGCCAACTACCAAACAGTTAAATTGTTAAATTACATTTGTTATGTCCACACAATGAGGTGCTATAAACTCATTAAAATTACTGGAAAGAACAATCTTCTCTGCTTAGAGACATGATGGGACTCACCACCAAAGTGACAGGGACCCACATACACACAGAGGCCACTGGGGAGAGCGCTCAGCATGGCCTCACAGTTCTGGTGTCACGCGCTGCCCACCCTGGACAGGGTGGTCTGACCACTCCATCGCTTTGACAGGTCTGCCCTTTGCATTGGTCCCGGCTTTTACCGGGTGCTGAGGAGCCCCGGGAAATGCTGACTTTATTATTTATATGATGGTAATATTATACACAAAAGCAGGAGTGACTCTGACCATGAAGCAGAAGAGACTAAAATGGACTCTGCCCTGATCCTGCCCAGTTCCTGGGGACCCCAGCCATGAGCACCCCAGGAGAGCCCCCTGGCTGCTCTGGTGGGCCCCCTGCGGGTCACCTAGGAGGCTCAGCCTCACTCGGTGAAGGCCTTGAGGACTGGACAGCAAACGACACACAGACGCCTCCGCTACTTACCCATCACTCCACATGAGAAAAGGGTAGGTCCTTGACTCATCTTCTCGGCCGTGCACTGAAAACAACCAGAAAAGCTATTCACTTCTTCAGGTCATGAAAATCCACCCCAGTCTCTATACTGGGCACTTGCTAAGGTCACCCCTCTAGGTGTGGCCGCCTCAGCCAGGGGACCCTGAAGCAGCAGCCTGAGGAAACAACATCTGCATGGAGTTGGGCTGGACCCCTGTCCAGTCTCCAGTGAGTTACAGGCTCATTAAGAGCATGGCTGTGAAAACATCCCCAGAAAGTCCCATGACTCCCTTCCCATGAGGGACATGAGGGGGTGGGAGTGCAAACCGAACAAACTACACAATGGGAGATGGGGACCTCCACGGTGGCAAGGATCTCCCCTGATGGCAGGAGAACTTGGAATGAGGCAGAGCCTAGGTCAATTCCCAGAGCCCTCTCTTCCAGAGGTGAGCACTTCTCTGAAGTGCGTGAGGTTGGTGGGAGCCCCATCCTGGCTCTTTAAGACCTGGAAGAAGGGTGGGGCTCACCGGGAACATCTGTCCCACCCAGATAAGAAGGTGGCACCAACTCCCCTGGTCCCCACCCAAGGAGGCCCGGAAGTGCCGTCCTGGCCTACCAGGGAAAGAGAGGGAAGTCTCCTGGGCCTGAAGGACACTCCCATGGAGCAGAGGAGCCCATGAGCACACAGACACCCACACGGGGGGAGAAGGGGCTCTGAAGGGTGGGGGCGATCAGGGCTGGCTTCCAGGAGGAAGAGAGGAGCCCACCCTGCTGTGCAAGGCAGAGGATGCCACTCCAATGCCTTCTGTTTGGTTAACAGCAATCCTAGGCGATCAGAAGAGATGGCGCTCCTGGGCCCAACTGCCATTTAAACACCCACCAACACTGTCCTTTTGGAAATACCCGGGGAAAAATTCAACCAGCTGTTCCCGCTTCCCTCTGAGCTGGCTGCGTGCGGAAAGCCCACTGGTGGCTACCATGTGAAGCAGTGATAAGCCCCGCGCCACTAGGGCCCAGCAGCACCGTCCAGCCAGGACTGTGGCCATGCAGCGGACAAGTGCCTCGGGAGGGATGCAGACGGCATTCAGGCTGAGCCCACTGACCAGGAAGCCGGCATCCAGACACCCTGGGGGACTCCCCTCACCCTGAGTGTCTGCCATAGCGGGGGTGGGGATGCCACAGCCTCAGCCGAGGCTGGGAAAGCAGAAGGGAAGACGAGGTGTGTGGCTGGCTCGGGGATTCACTAACAAAAGCAGGAAGCAGCCCAGCGCTGGCAGACAGGGCTGATGCTGTCCTGGTTTTTCCTGCTGCTGACCAGTGGGCTGCATGAATATAGGCATGTGAGCAGGAGGCCACCGCTGAGCGAAAGATGTCACTCCTCCATCGTCCCCACTTAGCTGATCTACACCACCGCGCTGGGGGCCGTCCTAGCCCTCCAGGTCCAGGAGGCATTTCTTCATTCACTTGTTCTCTCGCCCTCGCTCCTCACTCTGGGTGACCAGTGCACAGCTCCTTGCTCGCCCCTGACCATTCCCCACTGTCTGCTGTCCACCCACAGAATGGCCTCCTATTCCCAGGTTGTGGGCTCTCTCTCTCCCTCACCACTCCAATGTCAGACCACCACTCTCCCCTCTGAGAGCCTGACCCCTGTGCTGTGGCCCTATCCCCCACCCAGAAGCCACTCTCATCCTGAACAGAGAGGAGGCCTCACTGAACACTCACGTCCACTGTGGGGCACCTTCAGGAATGGACACGTTGCCTAGATTACACCGTGGGGCCTGAGAATGTTCAGTCCCTAGATGCCCACAGACACAAGTCACACACACCCAGGAGAAATGTCTGCAGGGAGATCTACTCCCGCTGGGAAGTGCAGGGAGACACCTATTCTTCCGTGTGGTGTCTGGAACATAAGAGCCTCCTTAGAATGCTGGGTCCTAGAACACGGGGTCCTTCTTAGGATGTGGGGTCCTGCCTAGAACCGGGATCTTTTGTAGACAAAGTAAATGCTAGAAACCACATGGAGTCTGGGGCAGCAGACCGAGTAGAGAAGCAGCCATCACTCAAACACGGACACAGTCACAGCAACCAAGAGACATGCTCCTGCACCGCCACCAGCCACGACTAGCACAGCCCTGGTCCAGGCATGCTGACGGAGCCCGTGGACTCGGCCTGCTGTGCCCTTCTGTCCTTCCAATGGCCTGGGGCACTGCGGCACAGTACTCTCACTTCTGCTCCAGAGGGATCAAGGGATCAGCCTCCAGACCGAGCTGGCAAGGGAGACCCAGGCCAAGAGGAATACGCCATGTTAAAAAGAGCAAGATCGCTCAGGCGTGTGGGAAGAAGAGGCCCAGCTTCCCAGCTGCGAGGCAGAGGCTCCTGATGGTGAGAGGAGACACGAGGCCCAGCCCCACAGCGCTGGGCAAAAGTTCCCAAGGACAGCGAGAGACAAGGGGCCCAGCTCTGGAGTGGCAAGGCCAACAGGCCTGGAGGCCCTTAGCATGTGTCCACCCAAGATCATAGCCAGTCTCAGGGACACACTCGGAAAACTGAAGTAGGACAGACCTGTAGCTGGCCAGGGGCTCTGGTCAGGATTGCTGAGCTCCAAGTGCCAGCTCAGGGTACCCAACAGGACGTCTGTGAGGACCTTAAAGCATAGGCCACGGATGCCAGGATTGTCACGGTCACCAAATATCAAGATAAAGGAAGTGGCCTAACCTGGGTGCCCTCCTCTATCAGGGGCACAAGTACCTGACCTGCCCACTTAGAAAACAGCCCAAGTTGACTCTGACTCCCGGTGACCTCAGAAGACAGGGCAGAGCTGCCCCACGGGGGGCAATCTCTACAGAGCACACTCTGCCGTGGGAGGGCTGGTGGGTTCGGGCCTTCTAGCTCTAGGCTTCCCTCCACCTTAGAGCGTCTGCTAAGATGACTGGTGGTCACTGTGGGAAGACTCTGGAGGCCTGAGCCCTGAGCTGCCACTGATGGGAGTGATCCAGGCTTGGCCCCTTTGTATCCACTCCCCAGAGGGGCCATCAGGCCTGGCAGGGAGAGGAGAAAAGAGGACAACCCACCAGCCTGCTCACAGGCAGGTAGAGGGGTGTACTGGGTCACCCTTCTGAGTGACTGTCCGGCAGCAACAGCTCAATTAGCATAACCAGGAAGCAGTGCTGAGCCGAGGCCGGAAGATCTGGGACCCGAGCAGGAACCGGACACTGTGTAAGGCTGGGGCAGGCACAGTCTCACGGGTGACAGGCTCACAGCAAGAAGAAAGTGCACAGCGGGGGCAGCCCTTTCCTTCACTCTGGAGTGGGGACAGACCAACTGCCAATTTTGTTTTTGAAAATAAAGAAGAGAAACACGCACCCAGAGGGCGAGGAAGGAGAGCTTTCTCCATCCAGGCCGCACACAACCATGGCTTCTCCACTCTAAGTGACCCTATGCTTCCAGGGGCCTGAGTGACCATCCCGCAGGGGAACCTCACTGGGCCTCTGGGCCTGTCACTCCAGGTGGCTGTGGAGACCCAGTCCCAACCTTCCAAATCATGCCTTCTTTTTTAATCTCAGCCCCCCCTGTTTGATTAGAAAACAAAAGAGGAATTAATTCTTGGCCTTTCCTGTTGTTATCTTGATGGCATGTGTGAGGGTGATGTTAGCTGTTTAGGAAGTGATGTGAGGCCCGTCCACTTCCTCTGTGCCTCTGCCGGCTGCTCAGGTCACATGACATCCTCTCAGGGATGTCACCAGGAGATCAAGACGAATGGGGTCTTTCTTGGATTGTTTATATTGTGCATCTCATTCAGGGCTGGGGAGCCTTGAGGTATGGGGGTCTTAAGTCCCATAGTGGGTCCCAAGTGACAGAGCAAACAGGGCCTGTCCTGGGTGGAGCTGGGCACCATGAGCTGAAACTTCCTGCTGGCTGCATGGCAGACACTGTCAGATCCCTGCCCAGCGGGCACAAGACGGCGCTGTCTATAAAATACTCTAGCACCACAACAAGATAAAGGAGAATAATCCAATTGAACAATGGGCACAGGATATGAACAGACACTTCACCAAGGAAGACATTCAGATGGCCAACAAACACATGAAGAAATGTTCAAAATCCCTAGCTAGCCCTGAGAGAGATGCAAATCAAGACAACCATGAGATATCATCTCACTCCAGTAAGACTAGCAAAATTTAACAGAACAGCAAGCAACAAA